TGGAAAGATAACAGGTGATTCCTGCTGGTCCTGCAAAAGGCCCTGTAACAGGTATGTACTGGCACTGTGATGTGCACTTAGCACAGGGATCATTCCTTAATATGCCTCAATATTTGCTTGCTATGCCTGTGGTGTGAGAGAAGTGGTTCAATCCCTGTCCTTCCTCTGGTCCATTTTGCTCAACGCTGCTACCCTATCCTTTCACCTCACTCCTCTTTCCAGCTGACATCCCAACTGCTGCTGTCTTTTTCAGGCAACAGGCTATAGTGCTTCCCTAGAACATCTCACAAGATTGACACACATCACTGCTGTGCATGTGTTTGAAAAGCTTTCATCATAAATGAGGGGGACAGAGACCTGACAGAACGCTTGTTGCCCTAAGCCCTGGTTTGGTTTTGCTCTGCTCCACCCAGGAGGTGTCTGCCTTTCATCCCCAACAGTAATCATCCCCAGGCATAAGGCAGGGAAGTGCCTTTTAACTGAAGGAGCCAGATACGGTCTGAAAGCAACGCAGACGAGTATCAATGGGAGCCACGCTAACGCTGTACCTACCCAAATTACACTTGCAAGTTTCATTTGAAACTCTCCACCTGCATTTGCTGTGTGCACCTTTAATAATTCCTGAACATAGGAGACACTGCTTAGAAACATGAGGGCAAACAATGCAAGTAAAGGGCAGTCTTGTGGGTAGAACCTGGGGCAGCTATCAGGTTCAGCCCTCGCTCAACCACCAACAATTCACATTACCATCCCAGCAGGGACACAAGGAGAGCAAGGACACCTGACAAGACATTGGCTTGTCTGAGATTATTCTACAGAGATTACTATGACTCTGAACTGACAGGAGATGGTGGACACTCTAATAGAGACAATTAAAAATATATTCCTCACTTTAAAATTCTGAAAGTAATTTGTTTCCACTTTTTTTTTTTTTCAAGCTGGTTACCTGCAGTGCTGAAAAGATTTCCTTTCCTAAGCAAAAAGAAACTAATGGTACAGCATCAGCAGCACTTCTTTATCTTCTGGAAGAACAGCAGGTTTCCAGCACCACCCACAAACCAATCCAGCCTCTGACTGCTGTCTGATGCCCAAATACAAATTCATCCCAGGAGTGCAAGGAAAAAACACACCCAAAGAAGGAAACTATTTTCCAAGGTCTGGAACAAAGTTAAAAAGGCAGGAACCAAAGGCAATTAGAAGCCAGTGTGCTCTGACTTCGGGTGCATGGTGTTGGAATGAGGGTAGACACCCAGGTTATGACATATTGGAAATGCTGGATTAGATCAGACTCACAGACTTTTTAGCTTTGCTTTTTATCCCAAGATACAAAGAGAACAGACTGCATTATTGCAGTCAAAAAATCCTGAGCTGAGAATTGGCTACTTTTCTGAACCATATGCAAAAAGATAAACCTAAATGACACAAAAAGCTTACCAATGAAAACTTCATCTTTCTCAAAAAAGATGCATTGACTGTCCTTACTAAGAAAACACATTTTGAAAGCATTTCTCTGCTTTGGACTAAGGCTGCATTAGCTCAAAGGTCCTCTTTGGCTGAAGAAGGCCCAAATGCTGCTTCCTTGGCTGTGGGCCTATCCAGGGAGCAAACAATAGCTGTTCCACTCTGACACTCACAGGCGTAGCTGTCTCAGCCGAGCGACTCCCGAGTCACAGACAAAGCCAGACCTGCAGCAAACGAGGATTACTGGCTCAGGAAAGGTGTAACCAGCAGAGGAACGATAGGTATGCACATCTCTATTCACAAAATGAGAACGAAGCTAGGTTTGCTTACTGGGGACTGTCTGACCCTTCTGTCCACTGATTTGTCTCACGTGAATGGAGTCCAAGAGAGGCAGCAAAAAGCAGCCCTTGCTCCTGGCACATGCTCATTCACGGCATTCTGCAGTCACCAAGGACATGCAGCTGTGGCTTCCTATCCAAGAGAGCACCTCAAGAGCCAGGTGAGGGCAGGATTGTTCTCTCAAGTGGGACACACTGCTAGCACATCAAGAAACCCCCTCCCAAGAGAGGCGAGCATCTGTCCCAGTTCACAGCCCTGCTTTCAGACACGGTTGCTCGGGGAGTTCACTGAAGCATCAGTAGTGCTACCTAAGAGTATTGCTATAAGAAACACCCCAAGTCTTCTAAGGACTCACACCTTTACACCAGGTACTGAAAATGGCATCAAACAACTCAAAAGTGGGTGAAGCAAACCACAGCACAGCTATCAGGGATCGCTGACAACACAGACACCTTTGTAGATGTCCATGCACATCTGGATTTACTGAGGAAAACTCAGTAAATTCAGAGTAACATCTGCTACTCTGAAGGAAAAGGGGCATACTGGCAGCTGGGCAGGACGAGGGAAGCCAAGTCCAGAGGCAGACAGGAAGCTCCCCCATCACAGACAACTGCAAACACTCCAAAGCTCCACTAAGTGCACAACAGATAACACCATGGTGAGCCATCCTTCTTCCTACCATCCTCACAGAGAACAAAACGTTCAGGAAAGACTAAGGAATTGTGCAAGAAGGCATGACCATCAACATTATCCCGGGATACCGATCTGGATATCACAAATACCTTGCCAAATCAGCCCTGTGTGCAGAAAATTGTGCAAGCTGCAAGCACATGAGGCTCCTCCCTCAGGTCTCAGCTGAAGCACCTACAAGTGAGGGACACAGATAGACTCCTCTCAAAGTGGCATTGTCAACAGAAGGTTAAGAAAAATCTGGAAGCCTAACTTAGCAATAAGACGTGCAACCAGAAATCCAGGCACACTCAGTGAAACCCAGGTAGCTCCATGGTGAGGGGAGAAGGTCAAAAGCCAGATGATGTTCATCCTAAAGAATAGACATGGCTGTGCAGGACCAAAAATAAAAATTATCTTTGCCCTTACCTTGCAGCAAATCAGATTTTCTTGTCACACAAGTAGAGCATCCTTGGACAGCAAGAGACTTCCAGACACACAGTTCCACCCATCTATTGTGGGTTCTTTTAAGCAACAAACCCACTGGACACTGTAGGCCTAGATGGTGCTTGTGCATCAGACTCCGGAAGCTTGGAGCAGGCTGTTTTAGCCAGGGCCATAGCAGAAAAAACACAGTACTGCTTGCTAGAACTCGTAATTGATTAAAGCATAATGAAGGGAATTTTTCCTTTCGTATATACATGGGTTCTAGATTTACAATTACCTAGGCCATTCATGGACAGAGAGATGTGCCCTCAGTTCCCTGCACTACATTTCCCAAAAACAGGAAACAGTTCCAAGCGTTCAACAAGCCACCACAGGGAACATGGGCAGTTCCCTGCCCTGCATGAGACAGCACCATCTCTTAGGCACAGCCAAACTCTGCTGGAAAGAGCTACAGCAGTGCTGGATGTGACTGACCAAGAGCAGAGCACAGAGAGGAGCTGTGCAGCAGAGCTGCTGGCCACACAACCTCTCAGAAAACCTGGCCATAACCTAAATCCTTAGAGAGGAATGAACCTCCTGTGTAGTCTGCCCCCCGCTGTTGCCTCTGCAGTTTCCAACTCCTTACTTTCAGAAAATATTTTCCAGCCCATTCACTAATCAGGGTATTAAAAGTACACAACAGACGGAATCCACAACTTACACTGGTAGCTTCACTCCCACCAGGCTCAGAAGCTGGGGAGGGAAGAGGGAGAACAGCTCTGTTTCCCACGGTAGTGTTGGTTTAACCTACCAAGTAAAAAACTTGTTACTTCCTCAAAAATGCAGACTAGAGAGAGACAAGTTTCTGGAAAGGAGTCTAATGGCTTTTAAAAGGGGGTTATACTCCATCCTCAGTCTCACTAGGCCATGGCTTGGTTACCACTGAGATCAAGCTTGTTTACTCCAAAGCAAAAAAATTCTTGGCAGGACTGACAGAAACAGCTTTTCTTGCCAGAGCTCTAATAGCAAATGTCTGTGGAAAAGCCACTTGGAGAAATGCTGTTTACTTTGGTAATGAAGCAAGTTCCCTGGAATGAAGTCTTGCAATCTTCCCAAGAGATGTTGCAATACCTTACCTGTACCTCAGCTACATACCATACAGGCTGCTCTCAGAGCCTGGGAACTCCCTGGGCAGCTCAGGAGGTCAAGCAACTCCCCGCAGTTGCATCTCAGCAACTCCAGGCAGGATTGAGCTATAGTACTACACTGGATACACAACCTGCATCCTAATTAAAACTGATGGCTGGGGGCGTTTTTTCAGCTCTGCTTCAAGGTAAGCTCCAGCCACCAATACCGCCTGAAGATGCTTATGAAAAAAGGGCCTCAAAACAATCATCTCCATCCCCTTCTTTTTCATCATATAAAGCCAAACCATCCTCCTTGAAGCTCTTTTTTTTTTCAGGCAGCTTTCAACTTAGACCCCAGCTCACTGCTAGAAATGCTCTGAGGGAGCATCAGCACACAACTGGACTAATAAGTACCAAGCAAGAGAAGAAATTCCAAGCAGACAGCGGAGGCCAAGGCTCCCTTTCTGCTTAGGGAGAAACTGGCCTGAGGCTATGCTGCTTTTCCTCGTTTATTTAAGACCAGGTTTCAAGGTGCTGTCCAAATTCTGTCCAACTGCAGAGATGAAAGGCTCTTGCTGTTCAATATTCCACCTCTCGACTCGAGCCCAGATGGCTACAACATTTGCACAAACCTCAGTTGGAAGTTTCACTGCCAATGAGACGGCTGACTTAGCCTCTCCCCAGTTCAGCACCGACAAGATCCCTTGTAGCTGAATGAAATGGATTTCTTACCCAAACAGGTACTTGCATTTGTACATTTTGTTTACAAACAGCTCACACTCTTGCAAGAGCACTAAGCCCATGCCTGACACATGGCTGTAGTTCGTCATGGCAGTACTTGTGCTCCCAAGTGTTGAAATTCTTGCTTTGAGGAGAAACAAAGCTCTAATTTCAAGTGTTTACATGTACTCCTGAGAGCAAGAAAAAAATCTTACCATGATTAGGTTATGTAAAAAGTTTAATTATAAAATAAATAAGTTTGTTATGGAAACATTAAATATTAAATACAGTAATAAATATTTACACATTTACAGATACAACTTGACAATTAATGGTGTTTCTCTGCTACCAGAAGAACTCTGCTCTGTTTACACAGAACACAATCACTCTTCCAAGAAGAAACTGAACTCAGATAACACTCTGTGCTCATGACAGCATGGACAGTAAAGAAACCAGGGACACCTGGGTCAGAAAAGATTGAGGTAAGATGGGTTCTTCACACCTGAAGGAAGAGCACAAGAGACCACTGCTTGCAAAGCATCAGTGCCTGAATTAAATTCTCCAAAAGAACAGGTTCTTAGTCAAGTTCAACGGATGGGATCTGTTGTGAAGCATTTTATATTTAAGCACTGCTTAAAGCAGCAACAAGTATCTGTTTAACAGAAGTACCTTTGTTTTCAGGAGAGATGGGTCCAGCCTTATCAGTTGGTTTGAGCATGGATCTTTTCCTTTAGATGCAAAGCCTCAGGTCTTGCATCTACTGCCTCAGCATCCTGAGGAGACTAATTTCAACTTGGGCTAGCACACACGCAAATGGATAGCTCCACTCACACCACGAGTCCGACAGAACTCGGAGGGATCACTTCCACACACACAGTAACAGAAGCCAGCTGAGGCTGACAAAGATCTGTCACCAACCCCCTGCAAGTCACAACTACAGGTGAAGCTCTCAGAAGCCAATATGGACAGGGAGCACGGTGACAACAGAACCAGGTTTTTCATCCACTGAGGTCAAGGGAGAGAAGCCATCCCAACCTCTTCCCTTTTTCACTTTGGTAGAGGGAAGGAAGGGAATTTTCTCCCTTCCATCCATTCCTCAAAGCAGCAACAGGTTCTCCCCCTTAGAGTTAGAGCTGCCAAAGGAGACTTGCTAAGAGAACAAAGTCCATCCACACAACAGGCGTGACCAGAGCTCTGCACACAGAGTAAAGGCTCAGCAGCAGTCTCTAGCAGGTTGTGACAGCAGGTCCTGTCCCCCACAGAGCCAGCTCCTTCCACATCGTTGTGCCGAGATGCAGTGATAACTGGTCTCCTCAGCAAGTGATTCAGCAGCAAGTGGCCTGTTGACATCTCCTTGCAGCAGCCTCTCTCTTGATGAATCAGGGCTGAGTGGCAACAGCTCCAGCCCACAGTGTCCAGGTGTGTCAGGTAGCCAGAGGTACCCCGCAGCTTGGCAATGGCCACTTCAGAACTGTTCTGTAACGGGCAGACCAGGCACATTAATCACCATCCCGGGCACAAGCGCCCTGTGCTAGCACCACGGCAAACCAACCAGCAAGGCAGGTGGGTTCAGGATATGCACACACCTGAGGACACTCCTCAGGTACTGAGGATACTCTCCAGCTTCAAGTAAGCTTTCAGCAAAACTCTCCAATTGTCACTGAGCAAAGCCAGAAAATACCTAGAGCTGACATGCAGCAAAGCAAAACCTGAGAGCTCTGCCAGGTATTTCAGGACTATCTTTTATGGCTTCCTCCTCTGCTTGTAGTGTAACTCCTTTTCAGTAATGCTCCTTGAGTCTGCTGTCATGTGGGCTTGGCCTCAGAAGAGACCAACTTGTCTGCTCAGTAAAATCCACTAGATCGCTTCCAGAAGCAACTCACAGATGCCGAGGGGCTTTGGGGCTCAGCTGCTGCGACAGTATGCAACTTGACAGAGAAGCTATCAGTGGTGCTCACAGAATTCACAGCTTTAAGATGCTTAACAAACTTTGCTGTGCCCACTTAAGGGATTTAAGCAGTTGCCTTCCCAAGAAAATTTCAGCTTCTGAGCACTAGCTACTTCCTGAAACTCTCCTTGCAGCAAAGATATGAAAACACTCAGTACTTTTCTTCTAAGAGGTGATGATGCCATGGCACCACCTTCCATGACTGAAGTCTACCAGTGTTTCCTGCACTACATCTGCCTCTGTCCAGATATTCAGGACTTGTTCTTCACAGCCCCACTCAGAGCTCAGTACAGCTTCCCATGCTCACTTGGCCTTTAACACAGCCAGAAATTTAACAGAGCTGTTGAACAACTTGTACAAGTCAAGGTGGTTTTGAGAAACCGGAAAACCAAGCCAGCTGCTCACATGTAACCTATGTGTTTCATGACACTTGAAGCATTAAAAGCAAACAGTAGCATCGCAAAACAAGCATGCAATTCCCACACAGCCTGGAAGGTTCACCTGAAAAGTGTTTGAAGTCAGCATTCATACCTGCTTTCTCCCCATTTACACACCAACATGGCCATTTCTGCTCTCTTGTCGGAGTTTTTTCCTTTCTTCTTTCTCTTCATACTGAGGACACTTTTTCCTGACCCTGTGGAATTACAGCAGGTTAGAGATAATTTGGAACCCTGATGCACATCCTGCTGTCACCGTCCTCCGCAGCATTTAGACTCATGTTCTTTGAATCCTCAAGCAACTCCTTGGCACCAGGGAGTTTCAAGCAAGGCAGTTTTTAAGCAATCAGCATCAAACACTATCTGCTCATAAAATCAAGGAACCCCTGCACTAGATGCCAGCACTTGTGCCTCACAGAGATAGAGCTCCTTGCTGTAAAGCACATTTGGGAGCAAGATGAAGAGAGGTGATCGCTGGGACTGAGCAAAGCACCAGGAGAATTTCTGGGTGACAGATTTCCTAGTGGCTTTAGCTTTTAGCTGCAGAGACCACGCTGTCTTCCACCTCCCCACAGCAGAGCTGTGCAGGTGTCAAATCTTCAAATCTCTGTCCCTTGAATATATAATAAGGAAGCCCTTTACTGATTTTTCCCGTTCCTCCAGTGTTTCCTAGTGACTATTCCAAGCAGCTTCTCTGGATGAGAGATGAGAGTTCAGAACATGAAGCTAATGCACTTCAGAAACTACCAGTAGTCACTTGCTCTTAGAGCACTACAGAACTGGTTATCTCTCCGAGCAGCAAGGAATGAGGCAGTGTTCAGAGAACAAGTGTTCATCCCAGCATTCCTCTAGTTCAGAGTTATATATGAAGCAACACTGAAATGACAAACGCGTGCCTTGTTTCCTGAACTGCAGGAAAAGGTACAGCACGTACCCAATTCAGATGATGTGCTTCATCAAGATCTAAAATTAGACTGAACCTTGGGGTTTTTCTACAGTATCCCAAGCCCTATGGTGCTGGAGCTGCAGTGACAGAACCACAGGACTGTTCCGATACTCAGTTTATTGTATAGTTTGAAACTCATACCCAGAAAAGCTCTTGAAGTTATCCTCAACAGGACTCCAGATTCTGACAACCCACAACACTGAACTGCAGCAGCTGGCTCAGCTAAAATAGCGCTCCCTTCGTATTAACAGCAAGCACAATTTGGGACCGCCAGCATTTGCCTCCCCCATCTGCTTTCCCTCCAGGTGCAAGCATTTAAGCCCAGCAACATCCATTAACAACTGGACTCTCAGAGCACCACTTCCTACCCACCATGTGCTGGGTAATGGCCATGCATGAGGCCATCACATCCCTGCTCGCAGATTTCTCCACAAGGCTTGGGGAAGGCACAGCTGTGTCAGCATTAATGCTCCCCCTGGGCTTCCTGCTGATGTTCTGCAGCACTCTAACTACCCCAGCTGTAGCAAGGGCAGAAAGGCTCTCGGTTTACAAAACAAGGGTCACAGACCTTGCTTCTACTCCCCAGACATATCCAAGCTGGGCTAAGAACTCATCCTTTCCAGATGCTTTCCACAAAGGTAAGGCAGATGAGCCATGCACATGCTGGGGTTATTGGGCACAGGCCCTGCTCACACTTAAGGAAGACAGACACCAAAGAGGATAATACTTACTGCACTATCACAATGATAAGTACAGTAACGAAGCTGACACTTGAGAGCAGGACAGCTACCACTACCAACACAGTCTTTGAGTAGTCTGCCACATCATTCTTCCTTTGAGTCTTCATGAACTGTTCACCACAGCGCTCACCAAAAAAATCCTGATGACACCTGCAAGTAAATATTAACACAAGTTCTTATCAGCTCCTGTGCTGTCTGGAGCCAAGGACACCCACACATACTCAGACCTGACTTAGACATCTTCTGAGGTTCCCATGAATCTCAAGATGCTCCCTTCAGAGCATGTTCGTGAAATGCAGTCACTGCTCTAGCACAAGGTTTGTCAGCATTTCAACAAGTCGAGATTAGTTTGGGTGTGATGTTCCAGAAAGACACGCCTTTTCATTCTTTTGGTTTGAGTTTATGACCAACTGATGAGTTCAGTGGCTTGTTATGCGTCTCAGATTCCATCATCACTCAATTTACATGGCAGAAAGATTCTCAGTCAAAATACGGCAGGAGATGGATCTACACCGAGTTGACACCGATTTCTCCTCTGAGCCCTCACGTGGCTCACGGCAATGACACCTAACTCACAAGGTACAAGGAACTTACTTGCAGGTCACCATCTGGAGATGTTCTCGGTATATGCATTCCCCATGGATGCAAAAGTTTTTGTATTCCATTTCACAGGGAGTTCCTTTCTTCTTGTTTCTCCCTCTGTTTTTCTTCCTTCTTGACTTGCCAGCATTCTTCTCTCCCCCCCTCTTGGCCGGCTTGGGTTTAACCACAGGTTCAACTGAAAAAAGGACACGATGACTTGGTATAAAAGTGCTAGAGAGCGGGATTCTGAGAAAATGGAATGAAAGAATTCGGTGCGAGCGAGGAGGACCATCACCGCAGGAGAATCTGTGACCAGGAAGCACAGGATGCAAGTGAGAATGCTGCTGGGCATCTCACACCCAGCACAAAGGCAGCAAGCTCAGCAGCTCATTAAAGCCCCGCTCTGCTACCCTTAAGTCCTGTGCCATGCAGAGCAGAGGCAGTAGCAGCAGATGAGCCAAGAGCCACCAAAGATGAAGAGCAGCAGAGGTGCAGGACTGCAGCATCTCACAGCATGAGATGCTTGAGTGCGAGAGCACAGCTTCAAGCAAAGGCCTGTAAGCAAGCAGGGAGTTCATGCCGAGCCAAGCCAGCCTCTAGTTTTGTAGGGACTCAGATACAAGGCTAACAGCTCCACGTCTCTAAACCCTCCATTTGCATCAGTGATGAAAGGCACTGGAACTCCCTAGATAGTCCTGGGCACTTGCCGAGGCAAAGCAGCTTGCTATCCCGGTTGGGATACTTGTTTCTCCTAAACAACCTGCAGTGCTGTCTTCAGACCGAGAGCTCCTTTCCAGTCCTCCTACTTTGTGAGAGACGCTGAGCGCGGGGAAGGCGCGAGGGCAAGACAGTCAGGCCATTTATTCTGCCGCTTACTGCTGCCCCTCATTATCTCAATTAAGACAAACCTCTAGAAGAGTGTGGTTTAAAATCCTGGTGACTTAGTAGCCCTTGGATTTAAGCAAGGGCAATCATGCTCCTTTCGCTGAGGAGAACAAACCGGCCGCTGACAGTGGGTCAGAAGCTCCAGGGCTGCCCCGTGCAGCAGTCCAAGTTCAACAGCACTAGTTTGGACTAACTTGGCACAGAAAGTCCTGGCAAGAACCCGCCCCCTGCACTGCCAGCCCAGCAGCAAGGCTGCTCAGGAGTAACAGTTACCCGGGGGATTTGCATAGGCCCTAAGAAACAGCACAGCTATGACAACAAGCTTCCATTTTGCTCTTGTGCTCTGCAGATCTAATGAAAGTAATTCTTGGATGATTGATATTTTACCCACTGCTCTATGCATACCGGTAACAACCACAATAGGGCACAACTGGATCTAACTACTTCCTAACCCTGTATTTCTGGTGCCGAGAGCCCGTACAAAGGAACAAGGTGTAGCTCACTGTTGTCTAGACAGCTGATCATTTTCACTTCCAGAGCAACAAGCCTGGCTTGAAGTTACTTAAAAGCAAAAATGCCTTCAGCAACCAGAAGTCTGATTAAAATGGTATGAGCTATATTAATATGTAAACGAGGTACACAGTTCCTGCAGCAAGGTTTCCTGTGCCTGGAAATGTGAGCTCACTCCCGAAGTCAAAGGCCCCTGCTCTGTCCCGTCTGACTTGATCTTTAGGTTCGCACTCTCATAATTGAGGCCGCTTCCCTTCCTCCCTCTCCCAGGCTCAGCTTGTCAGTTTGATCTCTGTGCCCCTGTCTGCAGGCTGCATGGCCAGGAAAGCCATCCCCAGCTGAATCATAACAGCTTCAAGGTTTATCCACAGATAAGCCTCATGCCAAGCAGAAGAGCTGGTCCACAGACCAACCACCCTAGGTAACAAGTCTGGTTTCTGTGCAGTTAAGACAACACCTCGGTCACCAAGCCAGTAGTTTTACAGGCTGAACTGCTCCATAACCCCGACAGGCGCCTTTCCCCCACAGATCTTCAAGGAGAACTCCAGCAAAAATCCAGATTCCCTCAAGTGACCACATAGAGCGTGGTCCCACTTAAGAATTCTTTCAGTCACAATAAAGTCTCAGGGCGCTTCTGCAGCAAAATCACTAGTCAGATCCACCCCGGAGGCAACAGGACCAGCCTACTCACACCTACTGAGGTTCAAATCACTTGTAGATACCTGGCTTGTATTGCAACTACACTTAGCCCAGAACCAACAAAATACTCCCATTCCCACAGTAAGGCAGACTGCTCACATCTCCTCACAGCTCAGCAAGTGGGCAAATTACAATAAATACACACAACAGCTATTGACAGTGCGGCATTGCCCTAAAGATGCTTAACAAACTTTCCTCTGGCCACTTAAGGGCAGACTTTCAGCGTCTGCTTTCCCAAGAAAATTTCAGTTGACTCCAACCCAAATAAGCCACCACCAGAAACTACCCAGAAAATTCTTGGAGCAAGGCAGACAACTTGATGTCAAACAAACCTTTAGGGCCAAACAGCACCTATAAACTCCACTGATGACTCTACACTAAGCAGGTGGTCACCACCTGACCGTAGTCCTCTTGTGAGGTTTATCAGCAAATAAAGCTACACAAAGCAAGCTACCACCCAGCCTGTAGCTTCCACACACCCTGGGTGCATTCACGCTAGATTTCCACCCCTGACAGCTATTTCTAAGGCAGCAGCTTCAAGCACAAGCACATTTTTGCTCCATACTCCACGAGCTAAGCACAGCAGCGTTTACAAGAAAGGAAAAGGCGTAAGCTGGGACTCGCACGTTGCGAGAACCCAACCCCAGCGCCGCCGACTCACCTCGGATCAAGTCATCCACGATGTACTGGTGGACGGGCGGCGCCTCCTCGTCCTCCTCCTCATCCTCCTCGTAGTCAGGACCCGGCACGAGCTCGCCCTCGCGGCTCCCGGGCTCCCGCTCCTCGTGCCGCTGTGGCTCCGTGGCGTTGGGCGACGACCCGGCGGCCGCACGGCTCGCTTTGAGGGAGAGGAAACGGTGCCGTGAGCAGAGGGGCAGAGGGGTCACCTCCAAGCGTGGCGCCGCGGGCTCCCTCACTCGCCGCGGGCTCCCTCAGTCGCCTCAGCGCCTTCCCGCCA